CCAAATTATGTCGTGAATAGTTCACCTGATCTTCCTTCTCATGCAGATTTGCAAGGATGCTGTCGGATGAGAAAAGGGTTCGTCAAAAGGCGCAGCCGAAGGCCTGAAGCCCACGCGACACATGATCCCATTCTTCATTTAATTTGTGAAGGTTTGGGGGGTCATCACGTGTACGAAGAAGCCCAAATGCTAAAATGGGACTGCAAAAGAAAGTTCCTCATGTTCTATTTATAGGAAAATTATTTTAGTGAATGTCATCGTGATCTTTGTTTATAAATTGTCCTTCTTGCGAAATATATTTTGTGTAAGATCTCTTTGCATTGAAATAGTCTCTAAAAGAGAGCAATGTAAACATCCCCATAGTGGCTAGTAAATTATCTACGATATACTTATTAGCAAATTGTCAATGTACAAATGTGATAAGTCTTGATTATCATAAGTTAATAATTAATTAATAATATGTTTTAAGTCTTAACTCATGATAAATAGATTTAGATTTATGTTAAATTGTGAAAAGTAATTTTTTAATTAGTTAATGTAAATTTTTGACTAATTTTTTAATTTTATGTGAATTTATATAATTTCTATAATCATATTTTTTAGGTAAATAAAATAAATAAATAATATAAAAAAGTGTGGGGACTTGTTGGGTTGGAAGCATAACGTGACTTAGTCATTGTATATTAAATCACGCAAATATAAAATTTATAAAACTAGAAAATACGAATTTTTGGATATTTAGAAGTATTTCTAAATAAATATATCAATTATAATTCAATTTTTTTCCAAAAATAGCGATAATTTCCCAGGTCGATCACAGGGATGTAATATAATATCTGGTAATTATTCAGAATTTTTCTCAATGAATACGATTTTCTATGACTTGTATACTAGGAAATGAAAAGGAAATATATTTAAAATTCACGAAAAAGGAAAATAAGGGTGCGGACGTCAGGATGACGTCAGCGCCTGGCGAACGCAAATCGGACGAAAACAGAGTTCCGCCCGACGATTCTTACGTAAGCGATTACAGACGATTTAAATAATCAAATTAAGATCTGTAAAAGTCAGAAGAATCGTAATAGAATAAAGTATATTTTGGTAAATTAAAATCACAAAAACTATCACTAAATGAAGCGTAAAGTAAGTTAAAAGTAGGAAAATAGAGTTCCGGCGTCGCGACGGTGATGCGTCGGTGATACATCGAAATTCTGAGTGTTCGGGAGGATCGTCATGCAGTGTCCACGGCCTCGAAGGCTCTCCTTAGACAAGGACGATGTGGGCAATCTCTAGATCTTCTCGCGAAGTCTAGAGATTAATGAAATGGGTCGTCGAGTTGTCTTCGGTGACTGTCACCCGGCGGAGCGGAAAAACGACGACTTTGCGGCTCTCTAGCGGCTGTCACTCGACGGAGAAGAGTTGGATGGAGGTGGGGTGCGTGTCAAGGAGCTTCATCCTCAGGTCCGCGCAGCAAGAGGAGGCTCTTCATCGTATCTAGTACGCTCTTAGGAGGTGGCGACTCATCTCTCGGTGGATCATCCTCTTCCCGACGACGGCTTGTTCGTCGATCAATCGGAGATGATTTACTCGATGGATTCGCGATCCTTTTATCGCGAATCGTTCAGCAATTTTAGTAGCAATGCTCCGCAAATCGCGTTGATGAGATTTTCGCCGATGATCCAGCGATTCTCATTGCTTAATCCTTCACCGGCGATCTGCAGGAAAATCGCGATAATCAGATAAAAATATATGAATTTTGACTCTAGGAGGATTCGAACCCGCGCCGGTTGTCCGCCCCTTCTGAGGAAGATGTGATGCGGGTTTAGTCCCACATCGATTGTGCGTCGATTTTTCGAGCAAATATATAGTAATGTTACATTTGTAAGCAAAGTTCCTTCTCTCGCATGTACGACCATTCCTTGCCCCACAGCTGGCTGGCCACCAGTGACGTGGAAGGGGAGTGGTGCACACGTGCCCCTATCGGTCCAAGCCGTTCGAGCCCTTGCTCGCGGCTACTCCCCGACTGAGCTTCCGACCCGCTTGCGGGCCCAGCTGGCCGACGGGTCCCCCCATTTTGCAATATTTTAGTTTTATTTCTTTTTCTTTATTTATCTCAAAAGTAAGACTATAAAAATCATATAAATTCATATAAAATTACATAATTACCTAAAAAATCACATTAATCAACTAAAAACCACTTTTCACACTTTAACACAAATATAAGTCTATTTATCACGAGTTAAGGCTAAAACTATATTATTTACTAATTATTAACTCATGATAATGAAGACTTATCAAAGCACAATTAGGCAGAGCTGCAAGCGGCTAAGAACTAGTAGGAGACACATGTGCATCACTTCCCTTTCACATAACTAGTGGCAAATCAAACGTGAGGACCTAAGAACTACTACATGATCATATCAAGTCAGGTTTCTTCAAGTATGGTGGACCCATTCATAAAAGAGAGCTTGTACACACGCAAGAGAGAGACTCATTGATGATAAATTATTGTATTACTATATGTGAATCCTAAAACTCAAAAAATAACTAATGTGAGATTAAAATCGGCATCAGAACTTCTCAAAGGATTTTTAATATTTGTAATACTTAAAATACGTCTTATTTATGAGAAGATGATACCCTTATGATGTCACTATTTAAGGATATTTACATACTTATTTCACTCTCTTATGCAAACAAGTGACCAACAAAGGTTTGAATCTTACAAAACTAAAACTCATATTTTTATCTGATTAAGTTTTTTAACAGTATACAAAAGGTCGAGAAATGTGAGAGTATGAGAGAATAATAAAGTTGAATTTGAAGAGGAATAATAGAACTTTTGACCATTGATTTGAAGATAGTGCATTCATTGAAGAGAGGACTTATGAATAAGATCATTTTGTACTTCTATTCTCTCTCCATGTTCATATGTAAATCAAATTCAATTCAATGGAAGTAGTAACTAATCACTAAATCTTACCCACTAGGGTTAGACCTATATAAATACCTACAATTGAGAAGTCCTTAATAGATTTTTTTTCTTTTTTGATAACTTTCTCTCTCTTCAAATGAGAGCAATGGCTCTCTCACCAACATCAGCTCTCTCTCCAATGATTGGTGCTCCCATTGGCTTGAACACTACCATTTCTTCATGATAGTCTTCAGATTTTATGAATGTATCCCATAGGTATGACCACATCAGTGCCCTCATGTGTTTGAGGTTTTTTTTTTCAGCTATATTTTTTATGTATTATCCTATTATCTTCCCCTTCTTCGTAAAATCTTATTTTTCTTGTTTACATATTATATGCAATAGCGTGACTGTAGAGGGAAGGGTGTCATCATTGAGAGTTCTTCTTCATCTTGAGAGAAATTGCTTCTAATATGTTGAAAGTCTCCTCTATAATTGTTCTAAAATCTTCATTATAATGGACTGACTTTGGTTCTGCATGTGAATATATGACGCATGATTTTTTTTAAAGGGAGAAAATTTAATCTGACCACCAAATTTTTATGTACTTGTGAATTGGTTTCTTATGAAAATTTTGAACCAAAGAAAAGATTGACCCATCAACATGATTGCTAGCTAAGGATAAATTTTCTTAAAATGATAGGATGGAATCTAACCCGACCTGTTTTCTTAGTCATATGAACCTTTTTCAAATGTATCAGTTTTTTTTTAAGAAGAAAATTTTATGATTCTTTGAATGTCATGGATCCCATGTTATTTTCTTACTATAATTTCATTAACATAGTTTCTAACATTTAAGTGGTGTCATGATAGAAAGAAGGTGGGATTGAATTAATTATATTTTCTTTCTTGATCAAAAAATTAACATTTAAATAAGAATAAAAAGATGACACACCAAAAAAAATTAGTAGCTTAGTAATCTTGGCCTACATCCATGCTATTTTTTGTACTATAATTTCATTGATGTGGTGTTCAAGCAATTCCACAAATTGGTCCCACACAAAGTTCTAAAAGAGTTGACTCTCCTACCTCCTCTGTGTGAGGATCGTGAAAAGTTGACTTTGGGGAGGGCATGGGGATGGTCATGGTGGGATCGAGTTGCCCCCCCTCCACTAGATCGTAAATAGTAATACAACATAAATATAAAATATCATCAATTCCACGTGGGGAATGCCCATGTCGTACCGTTTGGTTGAGTAAAAATTTCGTGGAAAAAATTTGGCCTTGAGATACTAAATATGTCGAGAACGGATAGTGTATAAAGAGAAATGAGGTAGATAGTTCCTGAAAGTCAAATCTCTGATTTTGTTGGGGCTTAAAGGGAAATTTACCGCATTGTCGTTTAATCTTCGGATCACCGTCAGATCCGCTGGTCCTCATTGTCACTCGATCGGGACCGTCCATATCATGACCTTTGGATCGAAGCTCGTGACAAAACCCTAACGCCGCCCCGACTCTCTTCTCCTCACGCTCGGCCGCCTCCGCCTGTTCAAGCCTCTGAGCACATCGCACCCATCATCAGGTCTTTTCTTCATCGGATCGGCCGAGCGAAGGTATCTCACGCAAACTCCTTCGGCTAGGAGGCTTATCGCTTCCCAAATCCCTTTTGCTTATCTTCTCGAATCAATTATAAGAATCGAGTGAAAAGATCTCTTGTATTTGCCGGTCGTACAAGTGTCTCTGCCTTTCGCGGGATCTTCATGTCGCTAATTGTCCTGTTGCTCGGTCTTTGGGAACAATGTCCTTCTGATTATTATTCATATATCTATTTATATATTCTGTATGTGCATAATGAAGGAAGTTCCGTTTTTCCTATTTAATTCGGAGTGTTGAGGAATTTATTAAAAATTTACCATCCTCTCTCTTGAGATTTGCCACGGCATTAATTCAAAAATTGGTCGGATGCGTCCTTGTGATGTAAATATTATGACTCGCAAAAGCATATCATTCCAGACCATTACGCGCGGTTTCATTAACTGGCGGATTATTTAAGATCCCTTACATTGCTTTCTGCTCCGCTCTAGCAATGGCTGCCTCATTTTCCAACCTCAGCTCACCGTCTGGCCTCCAGAAGCTTGATGAGTATCTCCTTACTCGCAGTTACATTTCGGGGTAAGTTTGACTATAAGTTGCTGCGTTACCTTCATTGTTGTTATGCTTGGCGGGACTGACGTATCAATGGTACTTGCGTCAGATATCAAGCATCCAAGGATGACATCACAGTTTATGGTGCACTTTCGTCACCACCATCTTCGGAATATGTTAATGTGTCTCGTTGGTATAAACACATTGATGCCCTTCTGAAGTTGAGGTTAGTCTTCAGGCTGTTTTTCGAGTTCGGTACTTCTGCGAACTTCTCATCCTTGCTGAATTCTCAACTTATTTGGTCATGCACAGTGGGGTAACCGAAGCAGGCTGTGGTGTGGTAGTTTCTTCTTCTGCTGTTGAGGAGGCGCCAGTATCTCCTCCTGTTTCTGATGCTAAGGTAAAGCATAGTTGATTGTTCCTTGGATTTATCATGCTGTTAATCAACCTTTATGTATCTCTTCAAAACGTTTTCGAATTGCATCTGGGTTGTTTCTGGTCTAATGATCCGTGTCCTCTGGACCTGGAGTCTTTAAGTTGGGTGGTGTGTGACTTCGAGTTATCTGTAGTATACAGAAACGTCTGGCTTCGAGATTTTTTTTTTTTAGTTTTCTTTTAACAATGATTTTAATGGATTTCCTGCACTCGACGTCCCATGGTTTTTATTGATTACTTATGGCCCCAAAATGGTGGTCTAGACTAAATTTATGCCAGAATATTTTATATGAACTTCGGACAAGTTGCTTTTGTTTTGACTGGAACTTTAATTCTCAGGCCCCAGCTGCTGATGATGATGACGATGATGACGATGTTGATCTATTTGGTGAGGAGACCGAAGAGGAGAAAAAGGCCTCCGAAGCGCGGGCAGCAGCTGCCAAAGCATCCGGAAAGAAGAAAGAATGTTGGTGTTCTTGGAACTAGTCATTTCTACTGAACCACAATATTTTCCTGATATTAGATATTACTGCTAATTATATTCCTGCGTATCATTGGGGGTCAACCCAACAGACCTTCGCCTAGCTCCCGTGAGAATACTGACATGTGTGCGATTTCTCATCATGGTTTGCATCAGCGGGGAAGTCTTCCGTGCTCCTGGACGTGAAGCCATGGGACGACGAGACCGACATGAAGAAGCTCGAAGAGGCTGTGAGGGGCGTCCACATGGAGGGCTTGTTCTGGGGCGCCTGTAAGTCATCCCCCTCTTAATATTTCGATAAAAAACATGCGGGTCAACGGGGGTTTGACTCTTCACGAGCTGTTGTTTTGTTCTTCGTGCAGCAAAGCTTATCCCCGTTGGGTACGGCATCAAAAAGCTGCAGATCATGATGACCATTGTCGACGATCTCGTCTCCGTCGACACTCTGATAGAGGAGTACCTCACTGTGGAGCCGGCCAATGAGTACATCCAGAGCTGTGACATCGTCGCATTCAACAAGATATGTGAGTGCCCTTTTGACCTTGTCGATCGATTACTATACGGAATATAGTCAACGCAGACCCATCTCAGTGGTTTCAGATGTGGCTGTTCATTGCTCTGCCATTTATTCGCTGCGTTTCATTTGCTACAGAATTGCTGCGCCGGCGGAAGGGGAGAGCCGATATGTGCCTGTGAACCCTCTGTTTCTCTCTGTGTTTCTCTCTACCTTGTTCATCTACCGTACTAGCGGCTGTGAGGGACTCGGAATCTTATGGGATTTTGTTTACCTTTGTCTTCATTTATCGTTGATCCTTCTCGATTGACTACTGGCCTTCGATTTGGCTGATATTTGATGAGAGATTTGATATGCGCCCATGGAATCAATTACAGCGGAGGGATTATTATGAAGAAACCGCCATGGTCAATGTGACCATGCAACACCTCTTACGGATGCAACTAGACGTTAGAGGGAGAGAGATATATACTGTGGGTCCCACATACGCTAACGAATGAGAGATCATTCCGAAGAAAACGACATGGTCAAAACGGGCCATGCCAAAACGACCTTCTCGCGGATGCAATTGGACGTTAGAGAGAGAAAATGTGGGTCCCACATAGGCTAACGGATATGGCAATGTTTTTACAAGCGTCTGCGTGTGATCACATCGGTTGGGTATTGCGGCTAACTAATTATTATCATTAAAAAAATTGTATATTAAGCATAACTTGAACGCAAATTACGGATGAGCAACAGTAATACAGAGAATGAATTAGTTAATTAATTAACTATTTTAGGGATAATTTAATAAGATAATTCACTAGAGTATACGCTAATAATAATAAGTTTTTACCATTTTCATGTTGGAAATTACCAGCAAACCGACTGAACTATTGACGAAGTTGGTTTTTTCCATTAAACCCGCATCTTTAAAACTACTACATCATCATATTTTAGGTTCTCCTTTATAATTGAAGTGTGAAATTTACACAAAAATACTGAATTACCCTTATCATAATTATTCTCTCTCTCTCTCTCTCTCTCTCTCTCCTCATCGGCCCATCTCCACTGTTTCTCTCTTCCTCATCGCACTTCTCCCCCACATTGAAGACGGAAACAACAGCGACAACATAAAACACTCCCTAGAGTGGTAAAAGCCTGGAGCAGCCAGTGCGCTTATCCACAGAGTAGAGTGAGTGAGAGAGAGAGAGAGAGAGAGAGAGAGGTTTACCGTTTCCCGGTGGGTGAGAGGAGGGCGTTGATGAGAGGTGGGAGGGAGTCGTCGAGCCGCACGTGCCGGACCCAGTTGGAGTTTATGCGGACACGCTCGATGCTCTGCCTCAGCGTGCGGGCGATGTTGGGCCTGGAGCGGGTGGAGAAGAACTCGCTCACCTCCTCGGCCTTCTCTTCGGAGGAGAACTAGACAGACGAAGATCTCCACTCCACAGTTAAAATAGGTAATCCCGGCGGCGACAGCTACTAAAAACGGAAAAAAATGAGCCGAGGAACGAACGCCGGGATTGGGATCCTACCGGGGACACGATGGAGCTGATGAAGCGAGCGATCAGAAATCCAGACCCCCAGGTCTTCGATATGTGCTCCCAATTATCCTGCCCCCAAAGGAAATACATCACTACCTTCCTTATTCATTGATATATACACAATAAATGCCTCTCTCTCTCTCTCTCTCTCTCTCTCTCTCTCTGTGTATATATAGAGAATGTGGGAGCATTCACCTTGAGCCATTGCCATGCAGTTTCCCGGCCCTCCCTGCTGCCGCCAGCAAGCCCATAGAATACGTCTTGGCTCCGAACCTGAGCAGATGGAGATGAATGATAAGGTATTACCATAAAGGGGGAGTTTCTCAGCCATTAGAAAAATTGAAGGAAGTAGGTGGAAGATGTACCTCAGATGACAAGAGAAAGTTCAGAACCACGAGGACCATCTGGGGATCAGGGCAACATGCCAAGGAACCTGCTGACATTCTCATGATGATCACAGAGAAAGGAAAGGTCAACTATGACAGTGGGCAGAGGGAGATAGCGTACTCAGGACACGGCCCTTCTCCTGGCTCAGATCAGCCTCTCTGTAGATCCTCAGAAGACTCTCATAGCCTGATCTGTTTGAAGCGTCGACACCCCGCATCACAACAACATATGCCGCCTGCGGAAAAATCATCAACGACGACCGCGTGAGAATCCTCGACAGGGAGAAAAGGGTTGAGGAGGGGGGTTTGCCTTTCGGGTATCAGGAGGGAGAAGTGGCGTGTTTCTGTCATCCAGAAATACGGCAAACCGCTTCAGGGCCTCGTCTCTGGTGGAGTCGTGTCCCAATTCGGCAAGCACAGTCAAGAGTTCCCCCCGTAACATTGCATCGAGGTGGCCCTCGCCGCTCCTCTGGTCCCAACCCAGTTTCCTGAATTAACAACGGAAATGAAAAACTCCCGGTTAAGATAAAAGGGGAATGGATCAAAGTGGGTGGTGCTCAACGCCATGTATCTTGCTCGTCATTATCTCTGTTGCTGCTTAATGCGGTTTCGTTAATAAAAAAAAGAAAAAGAAAAAATCAATCCTGTGAAAGAAGTATTTGGTGCGTAGAAAAAGAAGAAGATACAGATGAATGATTGAAAATATTAGCGAACTTACTCGGCAGAGAACTGGAACAGGTTGATGAAAATCTGTTTCACATCTCCCAGTAATTCTGGTGTGGCGTCGGCGACTATTCTTACCACCTTGTAGCTTATCTGTAAAGAGCGGGATACATTGTCATGCTTGACGAGCTGACTTTTCACTAGGAAAGTCCGAGGTTTGAAATCGAAAACGTACAGCGATTAACTGCGATAATACGGTGTATTCTAGCTCCTCCCTGAAGGAGTCCACCAAAGAAAGAAAGGACGACAATGGCAGCTTGCAAGCCATACATAGGGCATATGAGTCGTCCAAAATTCCTGGAATAAGAACTCAGAAAAGTCAAATTAAGAAGGGTGAAGTGGATAAAAAGTCATCAGTCAAAGATGCCTTCGAAGATATTTATTTACCAAATCTGTCTGCCACCGACAACTGCTTTCCTTCAATGGCAGATCGAAGCCTGGCTGTAAGCACGTCATCATATTTAACCCTGTAGAAGCCCGTCTGATCGACATTAAGTTTGATCCAATGATTTTCCAATTTATCGTGGTCCTCCTTTCCGAACAGACTAACTCCCACCTCCCCGATTTGGAGATTTTCGCTAGTTGTCTTCAATAGAAAGTTCTTCTGGGATTCGTATGAACCGTGGCATATAGTGATGGGAACCATCCACTGACCCTCACCGTTCGACCCACTTGACAAAAATTGAGACTGCATGAACAAAGAGGGCACACTTGGCATTTCTTGTGACAAAAAAATTACTGAGAATTCAAAAAATAAGAGCAGGATGTCTCAAAAGAGCGATGATATAACTTGATCGCAATGCCCACAAAATTTCATGAAGATTGGCATTTTTCAACAAGAAAGGACACGCGATAAATTCAGTTGTAAAGATTGGAGATGATCTTAGGCTTCATGCAGAGTGACAGGTACTTCTGTACAAGCGGTAAATGATCAGGTGGCAGCATAGATGGCGCCGTAATCATCATCTAGTTATTAAATCCAAGACACCGGAGGCTCATTGGGATCACTGACTCCAAGGGCATTCGATCCTGAATCCAATTCAGCTAGGGGTAAGAATTTATAGAGAGAAGACGAGATTCATTTAATCATATGATTCTTGGTTTCTAGATGTTAGATCCCCCCCCCCCCTGAACAGAGCAAAAAAGCATAAACAAGGACTCTTTCTTGGACTGGGTATTCAAAAATAAAGGAACGACCAAAATGGACTCACTGCCTGTGTTTACCGATTTCAATCTATTCAATTTCAGAATAAGAAAAAAAAAAGTTTATCGTTTGAAAAAAATTCCCAGAGAAACACGTTTCTTCAACCGGAAGTATATGTAAAACCGGATGATGCTTTCGGTGAAGCCCAAAAAATGTAACATAATCACATGAAATGAGGAAAAGTTGAACGTGACTGATGGAGAAATGCCACCAAGGGACCGAGAAATAACTACATGTTTATTTTACATTCACCAGCGATGAAGGAAATATCCCACGTCTTTCATCAGGGCTGGCTCCAAGCTTTGAATTGGATTCATCAGAATAACACTATTTCCAAGCCTCCTATGGAAACATGTCTATCTCACTGCGAGTAACATAAACTAGCCGGTGCTTGCAGTGAAAGCCCAAAAAAGAAATACAAGGATCTGAGTTGAAAATTATGTTGAATGCTCCGGACTGAGCAATGTGGCCAAGGGACAAAGCAAGTATTTACGGTCTTTTATTAGGGTTAGAGAAGATACAAGCATACCATACACTCTTTCTGGCCAGTGAATCGTTCAAACAACACTAATCCTAAGATATTCTGAATTCTTCCGGACTAAACCTCTCCAGGAGAGGTCAGCAGGAAGATGCAGCAGATATCACGGCCATAAGAAGGGATATTCGTATGCACGACAGTGGACACGGATGCAGATTGTATATGGATACTGGGCACACGTCGAAGCAAAGGTATAGAATGAGGTAGAACTGCATGATACCCAGGAAAGAAACTGAAGAAGAACGAGTGACTACTTTCAGTTGCCGGTGTAGGCAACCGTAGGTGGGGGAGATCAATCATCAAACGAATGATTGAGGAGAAGACCGCGGGGAATGGCTGTGTGAATATGATGTGGAACTCTGAAGAGCATATGAACATGAATCAAAAGTGAAACAAGGAGGAAAATGGGAAGAGAGATCGGGGAGAAGCAGAATGGGTAGAAGGGTATGAATGCCGTCAACGGTGATGGAGATGGTAAGAAGTAATGAGAGGAATAAAATTGGAAGGTAAACATGCGAAATTATAATTCAATTTTTCCCAATACCTCTATGGTCACAAAGAAAACAACAAGAAGATAATCAACCTAGGGCATAAATGTGCTGCCAGGCTGAAAATCCTGGGCCTAGAAGCCAAAAATAAATACCAAACACCCATCAGGACAACGAGATCAATGGTAAAAAAAACTGTAGTGGTATCCCAAGCAGTATGCTAACATTAGTCTAATCATAATAGTAAAAAAAGCTCAGCAGTAGTATGGAGTCGAAGGAGAAAATAGAAACAACACCGGAGAAATTTGAACCATCCAGAATTTCAGATCATATCAAAATTCTAACGGAAAGTTGAAAGATAATAGCACATAAATGAACCTGTTCGAATTCCAAACTGTTTTCTTTAATTTTCACAGTAACAACGGGATACCCCTTTTGCTTGGTCCATGAGTTCATCAGCATCTTAACTGGCACGCCAGATTCCTCCTCAAGGACAGACCATAGGTCCTCTGTCTTGGCATTGGAACAAGCATACTTTTTAATGTATGAAGCAAGGGACCTCTAGTAAAAAGACAAACCATGAAGGAATCAGAATCAAGAATGTGTACGGGCAATACTATGAAAAAGTCGAAATCCGACATACAACAGCCGCACACAATTCATGTATGTACAGATAGTGGTCAATAACAAAAACAGTATTGATTTCTTAGTGATAATGTGGCAGTAAATTCCTAGAGTTATGTGCCGATTGAAGTATGGTGACCTTATTTTAATAGGTAAGTACTTTTATACAAGCCTGTAGTCGACATAACACATGGTCTGGAGCTCTGATAGGCGCCCAGCACTCGTGGAAGAAGAACTCTAACTTTATTGATCAAACACTGTTTACAAGGAGAGTGGGATCCAGTATTTATACCAGATCCCTAGAAGGTTCTAGACATACTGATGTAACACGAAATGAAAGGTACATGAGCACATATATGTAAACGTGTAAGGTATACAGGTTATTAAGTACATCTCGACAACAAAGCACAACACAGTTAATTTACTCAACATATGAAACACGGATTGAAGTATGGAGATACTAAGCAGTCTTAGGCAAATTTCCAATCCGGGGCTAGGTGTACCAAAAGGCAGCATAAATTGAAAAATTAATTATGGAGAAGTAAAACTTCTCCAAATAGTTAACATGAAGGACCCACCACCTTCGATTGAAAAGCTTCTTCAAGGTTATTTTAAAATTTTGGATAGTATGGATAGCATTAAATGAATATATGAGCTATCAAGTTGATTATCAAAGGTAGATAAATATACACCAGAATATATTTTTCATAATATTGTAGAACAGAACTCCAAAAAACAAGGCAGACAAAGTGAAGCCTGGACGGCCTCAAAAGGATGAAACGTTGAAGGATTTCAAAAAATTACCAATGCGCTTGTCCAGGACATCCCTTCTTTTGGTGTACATCATTAGTAGTTTCTTATTTTAGGGAGTCCCCTATAGTTGCAATAGTTGTTAGTAGTTCCTCTTTCCAACATATCCATAATAAGCCCTTTTTATGTAAAAAAGAGAACTATAGAAATGCACGTTTTGTAGACCCAAGTCGTTCTTATTTTTTCCGCAACTAGCAGATCCTTAATAAGCTCTTTTATGTAAACAAGAGGAAACTACAGAAGGGCTCGTTTTGTGCCCCCAAGTCGCTTTTATGTTTTCCTTGAGATTCAAGGTTTTTCTCTTCTCTCTAGGCTTCCGCAATATGGCGCAAAAATATATTTAACAGTATAAAATAAGTAGATGGGGATAATACATAGGCAAAAATACCTAAGTTTTGGTCAGTGACTTCTCTAGTGAGTGGTCTTGATCACGCCTCTAGGAAATTACCTTAAAGAAATCTAAACTAACTTTGTTGGTGAGACAGTAAGGAGGTGCGACTTCAGTTCACAGGTAGAATATTGTCACTTTTAGTGTGGAAAAATATCATTAAGTGCGTCAATAAATCAGCAATATTCCTCTGGTTCCTCAAGACGCATGATGAAAATTTACCGATCACAACCTTAAAGCTTAAAGACTATACAGGAAATATATAACATAGGCCAAATTAAAAACACTAACCTGAAAACATTCAGCCCCAAGATAGCTATGCAGCATGCGGATAACAGAGGCTCCTTTTCTATAGCTGATATCATCAAATATTTCATCAATCTCGCTGGCATGGTTTACATCAACCTGCCAGGTGATATTATCAACGAAGTTTATCCATCAATTTCTGATTTAAACCGTAAATTAAATGCAAGAAAAATGCATCGTTATTCTGCTCTGGATCATAGCCGCGAAAATTCAGGCATGGTAACAAATGAAAACAACAAATGTGTGAGAGAGGTGATATTGACTAAGTGACAAATTTCTGTGGTTCATTTGAAAAAAAAATGTGAATTTCTAAAATCAACTGCACTTTGTAATGTCCACCTCGGAACATTTTTTAAGTTGTTGGAGCGGCAGTGTAAATTAAATAATATAAGATCTAAATCAAATGTAAAAGGATAATATCATTGCAAAAAAAGCAAAGAGATGCTTGCAAAATAAATAGTAGATATTCTTTGAACAGTAGAAGAATAAAAAAGGAATAAATAAAATCCCCACGTTTCATGGAAATTCATGCCTTGAAATGTGAATCCATTAGTTAGAAGATTCGCCCACGTTTCATGGAAATAATATCCCCACTCACTTGTTTTCTTCTAAAGGCAATGATTATAAATAAAAACAAGGAACACTGAAAAGAGATCAGTAGAAGAAAAAACAAGAAAGGGAAAAAAAGGAAAAGTTTCATCAAAGGTAGGTTTTCAGGATGGCCCAAATATCCCCAAGAAAGATGTAAGAAGCTAACAAAGAATAGCAGATCCTAATAAAGACAGATTCAACCAAGTTATTTTGTTTCTCCACGGGTACACAAATTAATGGAATCTTATTTCAAAAAGCAAAAGCCAAAAAAATTCTGGCAGATATTCTGAGCCATGTAAAAAAATAAGCCTCTTTCACTGGAAAAGTTAAATGTTTTATCCAGGAATGCTACTAGGATGTGCAGGAAATAAAAACCCAGTTTTAATGTGGTCTTGCATTGTTGTTTTATTTTATTTTTGGGTTTTTTGGACGTTTGGTTGTTAAGGACCTTTTGAAACATATGAAACAACTTTGGTATATCAAAACCATTGATAGGCATTCCAGGATTATTCAAACTTGAGTCATCCCACTGAGTATAACCAATATTTTTTTATTCTACGGTTTTTCTGTAATTTGTTTTTCGATTTGTTTGAAAAATTAAGCACACTCATTACATCATAATGAATAAATGATGCTTCTACAAGTGATCGTGCCTTATACGTTTCTCTTGTTTGGTGCACGTGTCAACACTTGACATTCACGTCTACACACCATAGATCATAAATGGCCAATGGCTCCACTTGTGCCAAAAGTTTATGAAATACCTCATAGATCAGACTACCATAGCTGTTTCTTGTAGGTCTGAAACGACATCCGCCAAAAATATTCCAAAAATCATTTCACCAACCAGTACTCCTTTCTTTAAAAAAAGTTTATATATAATGGTCAAATTACTTACAAACACATCCCAAAAAGCTCTACTCCATTTCGTGGCATTTATACACTAATCATTTCTAGCAATACAAGCCTTGTGTAGCAGAAAAATATTACAGAATGAAGATCTAAACATTCCAAGATGACAGAAAAATGAGGGAGAAAGAGTTACGGAATAAATAGGATGTTTTACTCAATGGAGTCAAACGATAGGATAAAATAAAATGCAAACGAAATGGACAGGAAGTAATCTAAATTTTAAATCTGAAAAGAATTGAAAAGTCTTATAAGCACTTAAACGCTAAGATAAAGGCCCATACATCCTGCTCTAAAAGATAAATGACAACCAGACTTTGACAAATCTTACCTCAATGGGATGTGATTCTTCAAGAGCATCCAGTCTAAGGCCCTCAGTTGTTTCATCAAGAAATTGAGTCCAAATTTTCCACTCAGGAAACAGGGAATCAGCAGCCAAATAGCTTACCTGGGGAAAAAAATCATATGCCAAATAATCAACAGATTGGTCTTTGCTTTAACGCCAAGTGTTTCATCAATTAATATACGTACCCATGTCGCAAATCCCTCATTAAGCCACAAGTGCGTCCACCATTCCATCGTTACAAGATTCCCGAACCACTGATGCGCTAGTTCATGAGCCACAACCACCGCAACCTGAGAAAAGAGTTACACGCGGCAAAAACAAGGTTAGTTTTCCTCATCATTGGCCAGGAAAAATTCATCTTTCAGTCATTCTCGAAAATAACTGTTGAGATGGTTTTTGTACCGGCAACCTCAACTTAATAATAAAATATAAGGCAGACATTTACAACTTGTTTACGGCAAAGCATATTATCCACTGTCTGGATTTATCATGCATCTGATATAATTACAGCATACCAGCGTCAAGCTATTTGCAAGAGGAGAAATCCATAGAGACAAGTCAAGTAAAATGTCTTAGGTAATATAAATTCCGTAATGTACCCAGAAAATGGAGCGAAAAATCAGTCAGTTCATAAATGATCAACTACCAAATCTCATGAACGATCCAAAAACATCAAAGAAAATATGAAGCTTCAACGTAAGAGGATCACCCTTTGTTTGTTTGCAGCAGTGGAATGACGATCATCATAAAGCAAAGCTGTTTCACGATAAGTAACCAAACCATAATTCTCCATAGCCCCGGCAAAAAAATCAGGAATAGCAACCATGTCCAACTTCGGGAGAGAGTATGGCACAGAAAAATATCTGAATGACATAGAAAATGTCAGTACGCTTATAAATCAGGCTATACATGAAAAATATTATCAGATAACTAACAGATAGAAAAGGTAAAAAGTAACTAAGATGATCAATAAAACTGACACTAGACTTTCAAATGTAATTAAGATGATGTCAACTTGTAAAAAGAAATCAGCAGTATCATTTAACTGAAACCATTCAAGAAAAGAAGAGAATCTAGAAATGACAGGAGTAACCTCGTGTACAGATCAAGTGTCTTCACAGCGACATCCAGAGCAAAGTTCCCTTGACTGGTCTTACCAACCTGACAGTACACGCGCACTTTGGTTCCTGAACAGAAAATTTGATCTCTGAATTAGAGAAAACAAGAAACAAATTGCAAAGAGAAGAGAAACGATTTAGTATGTGTACCATCAGATGCTGTATCCTCCACATAATCGAATAAACCCACAACCACGGCAACCAAGTAAGTTGACATGATTGGTGACTCCTCGAAAAAAAGTGTCTTCACTAGCCCGTTTAATTTCTCTTCAACTACTGGCATATTAGACAATGCCACCAGATCATGAGGAACCTCCAATGTTATCTTGAATGTTGCCTAAACATAATTCGTTAAAAAATAATTAAAAAGGATAGCAGTTTAACATAATTTTACGATCACAAGTCAATACAGAATGATAGCACGGGTAGCACCAAACAACATATAAACATTACCCTACTAAATTATATAAAAAAAATTCAGTCAGTTTAACACTAGGAATCATTCTGCAGTTGTGCTCCAGAGGAGAAAATGATTGGCCTTATGCTTATATTTTCTTGCAGTATGAAGTACTCCTCTCTTCCTAATGTTCAGTTATTTCTAATTTTTTTTTAAAAAAAACTCAGTTCACATTGCTCCATAGAGCCTCCTTGGTATCTTCCAGCTGAATGCTCTTCATCTACCGTTTCTTCCTACCATAAGGGAACAGCAGTCAACATAAACGAAAAAATTAGAAGCATTACAAACGATCAAAGTGCTTATCTTTTGGCATCTGATGCATTCGTTGTACTTGGTATGCAGATAATAGAGTATCACAAGCGAATAGACGAACTCTATTATCTACCCAACATAAGTTTCTGGGTAATAAAGAACATAGCAACCTAAGAGATAATGACTGTCTTGGCAACACGTAATTTAGTCATACAAATTTGAAAAAATATATCTTTTATGAATTCAAACTAGAAATAGAGTTTTAAGGGACAGGCAAATCTCATATTACGATTTTTTGTTCACTTTCTTTCTTTTCTTTAAATAAAATATATTCTATAGTCAGTTTCTCTTTACTCGGATGAGAATAGAAATGGCGAGTTCAAAGAATACATTAGTTAACTAAAGAGGGAAAAGCTACCAAATACTGACGAGCAAATAACATCACCTTAAAAGCAGGTTCGTCCCAACACGGAAAGCAACGCCGGGCATCTGCGGGCTCAAATTGTGTGACGGCCATATTTTTCTTCTCACCATTGTATTCGTAAGTACTACCCGAAAAGAGTCCCAAATGCAATGGTGATGTACACGAACAATGAGTTTCGATGTCAGGGAAAAAGATAGTAAAAGTTAGTCAGCTGGGGATCAAATTACCTTCTGTAAAATCCTTTCATCTGATCGTTGAGGATTCCAGAGAAGCCAATCCGTATGGTACCCTCCCCAAGGGGCAGAGCCTTCTCGAACTGCAATAACAGGATCTCATCCTCCACCACGGTGGTGATCTCGATGGGATGCAACTCCTGGAGAAAACATTGTACCATTCATCCACCAGCAGTATGGGGGAGGATATCATTAAATCCCAAGCGATTCACTAGCAGAGATCTGATACCCAACCTGAGAAGAATCTTGATTCCTGAACGAGACCGATCCCTCCGTAACGACCAGGTCAGCGGCATTGAGCACCAGAAATTTGGTATCCCCGACGATGTCAACCACGACGCACACAGTGCCCGTGAACTTGCAGGCGGCGAGATCTGGAGTCAGCCTCAGGTCGTAGCGCTTCGGAACGGCGAATTTTGGCAGCCTCGACTGTCCTTTGAAGAGATCAACGCTCTGCGTCCCCGACATCCTTCTTCACAGCCCCCTCTCCACACACGCACCCTTATCCCTCCCTCGATGGTATCCACTGCCCTGCCGGGTCTTCGACTTTGCCGCAGGTTTCTATGGCGGCGAGCGGCGGCGAGCAGCGGCAAGCAGCAGCTGACGGAGGAGAACTACGCGCAGGTGGAAGATGGCATCCCAAATGAAGTGAAGATCAAAACCGCCGCGCGTCTGCTCGACTTCACGATGGAGAAGATTTTGATGCCACGTGGTTTTTTGTGGGACCCACCACTCTCTAGTAGACGCCGAAACTTCATCCAAATCCGAGCGTCCCAACTCCGACGTGCGGCTTTCTAAGATCGCTCCATTCGTATGTATCCGTCAACGTGGATGATCATGCGGGAGCCACCTGGCAAGAGAAGATGGGTTATTTTGCGAGCGAGAACACTATCATGCACAGAGAGAGAGAGAGAGAACATGGGCCTTTGACGGCATACCATTTATTTCAAATATTTTGACTCAAACCTGTCAAAAAAAAAACCGAAATTGGCGGACCCTATTAACTATTGATCTCCAATTGACATCTCCAAAAAATCGACTCCATTTCTGATACCTAGAAGTGGATCCTCAAGAGGACGAGTAGGGGCTAATACCATCTCCTGCGGGGAAGCGGAACGCACAGCGTAAGGCGCCACTCTATCTTAGTGGCACTTGGCGGGAACCAAATATCCACCACGACACGTCTCTTTCGAGAAACTTCGGCTACCAGCATAAAACTTGCGACGCTCCTCCCTCCAACAGATCGGTAGTTGTCGAAGGAGAGCGAAATGGATGTGAGGATGTTCGGAGTAGAAAATCCCCTCTTCTCCACGCTGCAGAACCTGATGACCATCCCGGAAGAGGTGGAGAAGGCCTTCAACGCGCCTACTCGATCCTATGTCCAGGACGCGAAGGCCATGGCCTCCACTCCCGCCGACGTCAAGGAATACCCCGGCCACTATGTCTTCGTCGTCGACATGCCGGGGATCAAGTCTGGCGAGATCAAGGTGCAGGTTGAGGACGACAACGTCCTGGTCATCAGCGGGGAGCGCAAGGACGAGGACAAGGACGGGAAATACCTCCGCATGGAACGGAGATTCGGGAAGTTCATGAGGAAGTTCCATCTTTCGGAGAACGCCAACACCGACGCCGTCACGGCCGTGTGCCAGGACGGGGTGCTCACCGTCAGAGTGGAGAAGGTGAAGCCACCGGAGCCCAAGAAGCCGAAGAACATCGAGGTCAAGATCGCTTGAATTAGACAAGGGGCCTCCTCTTCCTCACGTTAAGACCATCTCTGCTGTCACTTCTGCTTGTGCTTCTCGTCTCCCTAGTCTGCTCTTATAATCCTCTGTTCTCCTTTTTCCTCAGTCTTCTAAATGCCGAAACCTGCGTGAATATAACTGGTTTTTTCTCTTAAGCTCCATACAAAATTTACCATTCCAAGTTAATGGCGCGGTCAAGGGATAATCATGCCTACAGCCCGAAAACGTTGAATTACTGGGGACAATTGCGATCTAGCCTCCCTGAGGACTGTATTTATTTATGAGGATAGTTCATAGACGATCCTAGACGTTACCGAAAACTAGCTGATGGTGTTCATGGGGGATTTAACCTGGCTTCCTAAACTGCTACTCAGGATTTTGTGACAATTGTTTACAAATTAATGTTATTAATTAAAATGAAAATAATCGATCTATTTTGGGAAAATATGATCTAGTTGAACTATGCAGTGTATATTTTTTTGTGGATAGGAAGAGAGAGAGAGAGAGAGAGAGAGAGAGAGAGACTTAGCCGCGCTTGTAAAATTCGGTAAGAACTGAACCCCAAATTGTGAATGCTTCTTGGAATATTTTAATTTATGGTATTTATAATTTCCGTGGTGATGCTTAAAGCCAATTAAATCAGGCCAAGTTTTGAGAAGCTCATTGCTTTCATAGGTTTTGGTTATCTGACGAGTTTCCTCCGTGTGGCGGTCGCTGGAATTGTCCACGTGGCCAGAGGAACTTGACGCGCTGGCCGCCAGATAGCTTGGTTCAGCCTCAGACCCGGCCGAGGCGGGCCGGGCCTTCTGGGTAGGGCTCTGTGGAGCTGTCGTCGCCATGAGGGAACACGTTAGGGCCAACGGTAACATTTATACCCTTTCCACATTTTCGAAGGCGAGAAACTCTGGAGGCGGCAGGGGAAGCGCGGAGGGGAGGGAAGGATACCGTTGAGAGGGCCGAGGAGAGAGAGGGGGGAAATGGCCACTGATAGCGCGCGTGAGGCTCGCCGCCGGAAAATCCTTGAGCGAGGATCGGACCGCCTTGCCTTCATCACCGGGCAAGCCCGATCCCTGCCCCCGTCGGCCATTGATTCTCCTGCCACTCCCCCGCCTTCTAATCGGAGTGTAGGTGGAGACGAAGAAGGGGTCCCGGTTGCCGGTACGCGTCTCATGTTTTCCCCGTGAACCTTGTCTTTTGCTAATTCTGCTGGTTCAGGTCTCGCTGTGGCCATGGAATTATTTGTTCGTTTACACTGTATTGGATGGCCTCTCAGTGCAGCATCTTGTCTAGAAACTTTAAATTTATATTTTACGACAAGAAAATAATCTTTAATGCATGCTCGTAGTTAATGCGCGCTCCCTTGTCCACCATTTTGTAAGCTACTTAAAATTTCCCAGCATGCGAACAACGGACGTAAATGGAGGATACACGTTTGAAATTTAGATGTAAATACATAAAAAGATTTATGAAAAGATAATTATTATCTCCTTGGAAAATATTGGAAACTTTGACAAATGTCTCTGCACATGAATTCCTTTCTACAGAAAAGAGGAGTACGCAGCTGTTAAAGTGAATTCACGAAAAACTATTTGCAAAGAGAATGAACTGAACTTAGAGTTCATACTTTGCTCAGCTTCTCTGGATTCGGTAGGCATTACATAATTCCTCATGCATGACAAATTCCGTCAACACCAAATTATGTCACAGTTTTTTTTTCACGTCACGTGTTTGCTTCCAATTGTCGAAAATAGAAACTTGCAACTTCTACCAACGAATTTTAGAGATTGTTAGACGTTCAAGATAGCAGAGGCGAAAATCTATGTTTAGGGAGTTGTCAAGAGCTTTGTACAAAAGAAGAGGCTGAAGAATCTATGTTTAATTTGTTAGGGGATAATATCCATCATTTGATGGATTTAGCCTTTTTTATTTAATTTTTCTTGAGATTTGATTAAGCAGGACCTGATGGAGGCAATGTCGGAAGTGTATGAGCCAATGAAGGGTCTCTAACCAGAGTATTTTTCGCACTGATTCCAAAGTAATAAGGTAAAAGTAGTGTAAACGACTGGATACCCATTAGTCTACATAATGGTGTTCAAAATCATCAGGGGAATGCTGGCTAAAAGACTCGAGGAAGAAGCTAATCGGTTGATATGCTAGAATTATGGTATGTTAATCAGTTACTGTTGATGTCAAATAGTTTTTCTGGTGAACTTCGAATGTAATCATAATGCAAGGTGTCGAAGTGACAATAGAGAAGAGATTTTGTTCAAAATCGGACATTGAAAGGGTATTTGGAGGTGGGATGTAAAACAGCTTTTCTCTGGTGCTTTATTGAATGAACTTCAATAATAGAGACTTATTCTACCTCTGTTATATTTATTTTTTTAGTGATTGAGGAATTGTTGCCATTTTTTTTTGGAAGAGGCATTGGATAGGTAGACACCTTGTTTCCTCTCCCACTTATACTAGTTATTGTATTGGTGAGTAGAATGTTATCGACGGTTGAAGTTTTGTGATGAGTTGTGGTTTCTCAGGCACATTATACTTAATATCGGGAATATTGCACTAGAACCTTCTTACTTAAGGAGGATCATGTTTGTGTAACCGGGTCATAGTTTATTTTTTTAAAACGAGTTTTAATGAACCCTGAGAATGTGGAACGTGAACTTGAACATGGAGGGAATGGAAGGTAGAAGGCTGCTGTGCGTTTGGGTCATTAGATGGTGGAGTGTTTTTATCTTTCGCCTTGAGATGTCACCTCCTTCAACGTCCTTGCACCAAAAGAATCTTTCGAAAGCAGAATGTCAAATTGGAGGGACAAGGTTTTTTTGGGAAGGAAAGCTTACTTTATATAAGTATGTGTCGTCCAAATTGCCTATGTGTTATCTATCTGTATTCATGTTCCTCAAGGCAGTGACAAAGAGACTAGAGAAGCAGTTCAATGAAGAATTTTCTAGCGGGAAAGTGCAGGCAAGTGTAGAGGATGATGCGGCATTAATTGGGAACGAATATGTAAGGACAGAAAATTTAGGGCTTGACATTGCTGACATTAGATATTTCTAAGGAAGTGACTATGAACATTGAAACTGAGGATGAGGAACTTTAGTTGCAAGTGGGAGCACTGGATTAGGAACAAGGTGCATGACATAATGGCTAATACTGTAAGTAAAATATCTGGAATATGGTTGGATGTCTTGCAGCTGTGGAAGACAGTAGTGATATTAGAAGAGGTACCGTGTAAAGAACTTTTGGAAAGACAGATTTTGTGAAACCTCATCTTTTAACGAAAAATTCTGATTTCTAGCTTGGAAAACTCAATGCCATTGGATCACGGGTGTGAAGGCCTTTGACTTAGGGACAAAACCGGTATGTCCAATATGTAGAAAAAATGTTAATGAGGAGATCCAACATCGTAGGGACCAGCTTGCAGTGCAGTCACCAATTATCTCTAAGGCGGACATGAGGTGTACCCATTGGATAGGAACATATATCTCAATTAAGAGAAACTAGAGGCGAAGTGGTAACAAAAAAGATGAAGACTTTTGTGGAAAAATCTCACTTTGGTGACCGGTTATATATGATAGCTTGACATTTTCTACGGGTAAGATTCACACCTCCTACGCTAGATATATGATGCTCCTTATCTGACTCAAGGCGTATGATACAACTCAAATGAATGGCTTTTGGCATTGACAGCGAAAATCAGATCATATGGTTTGGTGACTTTTCTTGCATGGGATTATTTGCCCATTTGGATTGAGAGAAACCGTTGGTACTTCTAAAAGAACTGAGAGGATGGTTAATTTTCTGTGTGGTATGGTCAAAGAGTGGGTTTTAGTTTGATTGTTTCAAAGTAAGAATCGATGGGTACGAATCTACCATCTTGGGCGCTTAGGCTTGCTAGCATGCCCTACCCCCTACGTCCTGCCAAAGAGAATAACTTGTGTAAAGGGGAATTCTCAGAGGTCATTGAACATGTTTACCACATTATTCCCCTTCCTTTGGTTAATCGATGGATTTCCATGCATTCCAATTCAAAAAAAAACAAGGAATTTCTGAAGCGCCAAGAATATGCACATTTTCCCTAATTACGAGTTCTGGTTCATGTCTGCTCGGTTCAATGAAGCACCAGACTCCACCTTTCCTTGTGCAGCATACTCATGCTTTGAGAATTACAAGGCCAGCTCAGCATGCAGGTTGTGAGAAGATAAACATTCGACATGACGATGTGTCAGTCTATCCATGTTGGTCCTACTCCATATTGCGATTTTAATTACCTTCATTGCTAGTTACACGCCCACGTTGGCTATTTTTCCCCTGAAACTGTTTCTAAATTTGAAAGCATCATCTAATGGAGAGCAGTCACGTATAATTTATTTTTTTCTCATTCGTTTGATCGCTATTTCTTCCAGATTTAAGAGACTTCCCGCCACCTTTTGAGCGTTATTATATTATTTTCTGCAAGTCATATCTTAGTTTTGCTCTGGACCACATCTTATTACAGATCTTTCAGTTAAGACCTCCAGTGACGATTTTCTTACCGGTAATGAGTTCCCAGAATGTAGATCGACTAGTCCAACTGAGAGGGAGACGAGGGACAGAAGACCCAGTGTTGAAACATTCCTGAAGAATGAGGAAAGCAATGAAGCTGCTTATTCTGTCCTGCCCAGCAGTGGGGAGATAGAACCTGCGACAACAGATGATGCTTCCCACCACCCAGTGGTGACCACTGGGCCACACCCAGCAAAAAGGCAGGCCCGCATCTTCACTGCCCAGAGGATCTCTTCATCCATCTCAGCCTCTGAGAATATCCGCATACTCTGTGCTGTATCTATAGCTGCTTTGGTGGTTCATTCATGCCGCGGCCATCTGGTCATCTCGGACTCCATTCACAGCATTATCAGCCACAAGCCCATTTACATGGTCCTGCTGACTGATTTAGCCCTCGTGCTTGGCCTGCTCTACACCGGTAGATGGAAGGGGAAAGATGAAGCTGATGCAGAGACAACCAGAGCCCAAGAGGGTGGCGACTGGATGGATCAAATGGGCAAAGCCCTGGAGGTATTGCTAATTATGCAGAAGATGGCAAGTGCTGCGTTCGCGGATTGCTGTCTCTGCGCAGTCATCATCATCTGCGGTATTTCCCTCTTCACGAATGCATAAAACTGGTTTGTTCATAACTCATGCTCCAGTGTTCACTTTAAGAATGTTGAATATTCTCTGTTGATATCCATAAACTGTTTCAGAGGAACATGCGGACTGTTATATTTTCATTTTGATGAAATAAATTTTAGATTATATTTAAATTGTGAGATTTGAAGTCATGGACTAGTGTTCACTTTAAGATGCTATGGCAAGTGAGAAGTATGAAGATAAAGAAATAGAATCTAGATACTAGAGATAATAGGAGAGAAAATCTAAAAGGAGTATTGGGCTTCAAAGAACTCGAGAGTCATGGGGATGTTGGAGAGGTCCATCAACCCTAATTCTTCCCCTCGCGTCCTTACATCGTAAGCACTCTTTTACTCTTGTCCCTGGAAGTCTCTTCTTCCTCCGAAGTTGGGGAGCTTGGGTCTTCTATCATTGGGGCAGGCCTAATTGTTGGCCCCTTTCTCTTGTGCCTTGAGTAAGTTAGGCTGACGAGGGGCCTAACAATATCTCCCCCTTTACTGTTGTTGCTTCCCAAGTCGCATCCGGTAGGTGGTGCCACTAGATCAGCAATTTTGTGCTGCAGGGGGATGGATGACTATAGGAACTTTTGTAGGCTAACAGCCGAGTTGATCTCCTCATCCAAAATGAGTGGTAGAGGCTGAGGGGGGTTTCACTAACTCCCAAAGTACACTTCAGTTGTGACACGAGGAGAACATAGTGAATTTGGGATGAGTTAGGGACAGCTAGTCGATACACCAGTTTGCCAATCTTCTCTAGAATTTGATAAGGCCCAAATAAACAAGGTGCCATCTTCTCGTTCCTCCTTTGGCTCAACAAGAATAATTGATAAGGACTCAAATTTCAATAGACCTTGCAAACGTCAAGTGTTATGTTTCATTGGTTACAGTTTGCATAAGTGCTCATATATGTCTAGTCTTAAGCATGTTTTATTTGAGCTGATGGAGGATCTCCTTGTAAGCCTATAGTTGTTCATTATTTGTGAGATTGGATGGGAGACTTAGGAACCTCAACTATGGGAGAGGGTCTTTGTTGTATGCAATATTGAAGGAAGTGAACTGTGTGAGGGCTTGATATGTGGAGTTGTATCAATACTCAAACCATGGTAGGCAGGTGCTCCATTATCCTGGCTGATCTTCTACAAAGACATCAAAGTAGGTCTTTAAGATAAAATTCATTACTTTAGATTGACCATCCTTCTATAGGTGATATGTTGTGCTCTACCATAGCTAGATTCCTTGTAGTACTTGATGTTTGATGTTTTGGGTGCTTCATTGTACTTTATGGTTTGAAGTTCAAACCATAAAGTACCCCATGAAGATGGTCACCACTTCTTGAACTATATAAAGGTGCTTCAATGGGCTGAAGTGGATGGACTACTGAGGTGGTCTGCCATAACCATGATCACGTTATAACCACCGATGCAATACATGATGAGGTCTTCTCAAATCGTTTGTGGGATTGGGAGTGGTTATAGGAACTCGGCTAGAGAGAGGGCTTCAACTCTATTGATTCAGCAAATTGCCTAGCACTCCACATAATCATATATGTTTCTCTTCATGTCATGTTAGTACATGTCTTGAGACAGCATTTTAAATGTCCGTAAATACTCAGAGTGCCTTCTCAGGACACTGTCATGATACTTCTGCATGATAATTGAGAGGAAGGAGGATCTGCTAGAAATGACGAGTCACTCTTGGTAGAGGAGCAGAGCTTAATAGATTGGATACTAAGGCCATGGTCTAATTTTGGGCTGTACAATCAATCTTTATTCTATTTATTACCCAATAGATAGTTAATGTTAATACAAAACTAGTCCGTGTCTGACCCTCAATGCAGTGTCATGCATGATGTGGAGCAGATGAGGGTCATCCTTTACCTCACTTGCTAGGGCTTGCACATTGAGGACACAATGAGTACAAATCATGAGTAAATTAATTGCTACTTGCTTGGGGCATCATGAGACAGTATCAACAGCTAAGGTATATATGCTCCCTCTTTATAGAAAATCTCAAAGTCATAGTCCAATTAACCATTTTTGATATATGTACCAATATGGTATTGGTCTAGAATAAACTTGAGGCTTCCCTAGTCTATACAAATTATAAAATGGTGGTAAAAAAGATAATGCCACCATTTTAGGATGACTGATATAATCGCCATGAGTTTTCTTTTGTGCACCACCTTTGTTGATTCTTGAGTCTTAAAGTTTGGCTGAAGTATGCAATGGGGTGCCTGCTCTATATTAGCACTACTCTCCCCATGAAGCATTATCCTCAATTCAAAATCTTATGAAAAATCAAGAAAGACCCAAAACACGTACTATTGTTTTGAGGTTGTGGAAAACTTTATATGTAGTGGAGCCCCAATTGATCGTGTCCTTCTTTAACGATTGGACTAAGGGTGTTGCAAAGTATCATATTGTGCCACCAATTGTCGATAATAATCTATCAACCCTTCAAATTCATACAACTCCTCAAATTTTTAGGGGTAGGCCAGTCCACTAATATTGTAATTTTGCTTTGGTCAACTATCACTCATTGGGCTAAAACCACATGTCCTAAGTACTTGATTCGTTCGTGAGCAAACAAACACTTCTTAAGGTCAATGTAGAAGCTGTTTACCTGCAGCAACATCTCAACCTTCTCTAATTGACCTTCATGTGTCTCCACATCCTTGTTATAGATCAAAATGCAGTCAAAAAATATAAGCATAAATCCGCAAAGGAATCCTTTAAAAATTCAATTCATTAGCGATTAAAATGTCAGTAGTTATTTTGTGAGCTTGAAGGGCATCGTCAAGCACTCATAGTGTCTCTTGTGTGTCTTAAAGGTCATTTTTGGATGCCATTCATCTTCCTCTTTATTTCATTTTAATTAGATCTCAAATCAAGCTTAGATGTAGCTTATCTAGTAATTCATTCATTGTTGAAATTGGACATATACTCAAAACCATCGAAAACCATCACTCGATTGGGGGTGTGATAATCACTGTCAAAATTGTGGTTACCATTTTTCTTTCTAACAAATGACACTTGACCTTAAAATGGACTGTTAAATGGTTGAATGATTCATCCTATGCACATTTCATTGATGAGTCATTTAATTTTCCTTTTCTAGAAATGGGGTACTTGTAAGGTCAAACATATTGATCAGCCTTGTGCTTGTGTAAATGGATTGCATGATCTACCTCTCTTAGTGGCAATAGGGTTGTAACTGCCTAGAAGACACTGAGAAACTTTCTCTCCAGCCTATGTAGGCTTAAAATTTACTAAGTTTAAGGTACTTTCTCAATTTTAGTAATTTGTTGGCACTCCACCAAAAAATAAAACCCATTTGGTAGCTCTTGAGCTATGTCAAAGAAATACATATCCTACTCAAACATAAATCCCCTTCAGCATGATTGTTGTCCCATCCTTGATGAATTTAAAGGTCAATTGAGCCCAATTGGCTTCTCCAACACCTCTTTTTCTAGGATGTTGACCTTTACATTTTGTGATTTGGGCATCATCCTTGCTAGCTCTTTAATACCAAATGTTAGGACTCCACTATGGCAATTGGAAAGTCTGAAGATAAAGAAATAAGATCTAGATATTAAAGATAATGGAAGAGAAAATCTAACATGAGCCCTAGCTCTGAAGAAACCTAGAGTCATGGGGATGTTGGAGTGGCCCCCTACTCTCCTTCAAACTCAGCCACCTTAGAGTGATCCTCGATAACCCCCTTCCCAATCTCCCCCTCAACCTTAACAACCCTCACTCCTTTACATCATAAGGACTCTTTTATCCTTGTCCCTACAAGTCTCCTCTTTCTCTGAGGTTGGGGCACTTGGGTCTTTTTGGTACTGGGGGTGGGCCCAGTTATTAGTCCTTTCTCCCCATTGAATGTGTGTGTGTGTGTGTGTGTGAGAGAGAGAGAGAGAGGAGCAGGGTACTACAAATAATAAGGTATTATATATGGTGATTAATTTGAGGCTGATTTATTGGGTGACTTGTCTCATAATTACTATGTTGGTTGATTTTATCAACTAAGTGAATGTGGTCAATGTAATATTCTTCAAAGATAATGATGGGAACATTTTATTAACCTTTTTTCTCAAAATTTAAAATTTATATTAGAATGTAAATACAAACAAAAATATTCGTATTAAATTAAAAATGAATTAAAATTTATGTTTTTTAGTATTGATGTATGTGCAGTTGTGAGGAAAAGAAGATTTAAGCCTTGAGTTTGCTAAACATGAAGATTGAACCTTGGGAGATTAGAAGATAGGTTCTAAAACAACAATACTTGAAATCCTTAATCTTTGAATCTATAATTGAAGTGACCTTTGAATTCACAGGTATCAAAAGTGCTCCCTATTGAATTGACAAGAATTGGGGTTTGAATCCACAAGGCACAAGGAATCACACAAAAGAAAATCTTCACCAACCAAGATGATTTTAGCATTACAAAATGATGGTTTTTAAATAAATTAAAATTCGACTACGATATCCTAAAAAAATAGGTTAATTTAGGAAAAAAATTAAATCACCTTAAAAAATAAGTCAATTCCTAGAATCTAAGTCATTATGGCTTTTATATGGACCAAAAATTTAGATGTCCTCAAAAAATAAGTGAATTTAGGAAAAATATTAAATCACCTTAAAAAATAAATCAATTACTAGAATCTAAGACTTTGATGCATTATTCACACAATTCGTTTGAACTTAATCTAGTATTAGGTCTTTTTGAATTTTGTTTCGTCTTAGTAGTTCACTTCTCATATTTCCAGAATGGCTGCCTCATCAGTTTTGGGCTTCTTTTAGTGCTGTTTTATGTTAATAGTAAAATACATAATTTTAAAGGAATGTTATTCTATTTTAAAAAAGGATTATTTTAGGCAAGAGAAAGTTTGGGACACTGTGAACAGACAAAGGAGAATAGAGTCCGTAATTACTATTTATATCACCAGGCTATAAAGCCCGCCGCGTTTTTCCAGTTTAGCGGTTGGGTATGTGTGAGAGTCTGTCTTCAGGCGTCGGTTCCCATCATCTCATCCGAGGAGTCAGGCATGGAAGGGGAAAATTCCAAGCTCGGTTCCGGGATGGCCGCTCCTGCAAAGGCTCGGGCGGGGCTAGCTGACTCTTCGACGCTGCCGCCGTTCGTCGTCACCACCATGAAGATCCTCGATCACTGGAGCCTCTCCGTCATGCATACCGTGGCCCTGGTCTTGTTAACCCTAGATTCAATTCTGGCCGCCTTCCGCGCCCGCGGCGATGCACGGGCGATGTCCTTCGTTTTGTGCTCTTATGGCGTCTTGTTACTATTCTACCGGTGTATCCGTGGCTTCGATTCTGTGCCCCGGCGGAGAAAGCGGGAGCTCTATGTTGTCGTCTGGGTGCTGGGCATGTTTCTGACAGTCGTATTGTCTTACAGGATGTCTTTTATGATGCCATTTGGGTTCAGAGTTGTCACTTCCATCTTGACAGGGTTCATCATCGTTGCTGGCTTATACGCCGTAATTGCTCTAGGTAGACCATGGGCAAATGCCACACAAAAACACTAGGGCTTTTTAATTTCTCTTTTCCTTGCCCGTGTTCTTGCGTTCAACGATCGCAGGGTCATGATTGATTCCTTACCGTTCTTCTTTTTTGAGGGTTACAGGTCCCGGTGTTTACCCAGATGACGGAAAGGAAGGTGGAGGGAAAAAATTGGGGAACACCTTGCAAAGTTGAAAACCGGCCAGCTATGGTGTGTTGGATATGGTTCCTGATCCTTACGCGCGGCTTCGTTGTTTGGCACATCAAAAATAAGTGTCCCGTGGTCTGCGTGTGTAATTGTGTGCATGTACACATCCACACTCTCCTGTATTAAACAGTACTATAACCTCCGTAGAGCATTTTACGAAAAATCAACTAGATGCAACTTTCTCTAAGGTCTATCACTGTTCATACTAAAACTTAAATATAGTTTATCTAGGGCATAGCCTGCTTTCATATGCATGACCTTACTGTTGTTTAACCTGGTCTTGGTTTATTGGTTTGTATGTTTTGAACTGCTACTTTGTTGTGCTTGCTTGGAGCGTCTTATTAGCTTGACCACAGTTTTTCGCTTGCATTGCTGAATTGCATTTTTGTGCTCCATTGTTACTTCATAGTTAGCTTTTCTTTTAGATGCAATGTCTGTCTGGAGTAGTTTTTCCTCTGGTTTGATCGATTTCCTTCGTCCCAATATTTGATCCCTTTTGATTTTTGCATCATACCAGGCAAAACCTTAAGATAACACCAGCGAATTATGTTCTTGATTCGTATTTCTCAAGTGACATTTGTTGAGCGTATCTTATTTGACTTTCATGGGATAGTCGTTGGAGGGCATCAGATATTTGGATTCTGGGTCAACTCATTAATATGAGATCTTGGGGATTTTTGTTTAGGCGTCATCTGACTATCAACTCGGTGGAGCATTGTCTTCGGTGGCAAATGGAAAGGTAAGCTTCTCACGTATGATGGAAGCCTTGCGCTATGTAGTGTGCAGAACTGATGCATGTCCTTTTCAAGATTTGAAGGAGTGTTAGATGGAGAGGTTTGCGTGGGAGTAATTGATGCGTTTTTTTCTCGAAGTCGAAGAGAATAGGGTGGTATGGTTTACATTGGGGACTTCGATGTGATATTGTTCGATAAAGGGCTGTAGAAATTGGGATTATAAGATGGGAGTAAACAGCGGTAGCTACCAGGCAGAGGTATTCGGGACACTGCGATGGAATATGCATTATGTGCTGCTTCTAATATCTCAGGTAGAGATGTGATGACATCATCTACATGGAGGTTTCTTTGCAACTGTGAGAGGACATCTTTTTGCCAGGTTATGCGATGGAATCTTTACCCTGTTTGGAAATTTCACCTACACTTCCGGGCAGAAATGTTCCTACGCATATGAATGTTACATCTGCTGATCAAAATCTGGTGGGGGGCGACCAGGGAATCTTCAGCAAGGATTGGAGGACTTGAGAGAATTTTCTGTCTGGGACGTTCAGTGTAGTCTGATCTGTGGAATTGGATGCGGGGGAAGAGAGGTAGGTTTGCAGTTAGATCGGCGTACTCATCAACATTGACAGTGAAGTCAATAACTTCGTTGAAGCTCAGATGCAGCAACATCGATCCTCATTCAAAGTGAGAGTCTTATTGTGGAGAATGGCATCTCTCCACGCGTGATTGGTGAGGCCATCATCTGACGCCTGCAGCCTGTGTAGAGGGCGACAACGGCCCAACCGATGATCGGAGCACGACACCTCCTATGGGTGATTTCCTAGAAACTTTCTCCACGTTTACTTTGACAAAGTCAAAGCATAATCTTGATATAAAGGGGCGATCTCCTTGTTGATGCTCCTGTGGGTCTGTATCTTCCTTGTTGATGCTCTTTTACTTGGGCATATGGCGTGTGTAGCAGGGATCTATTGCGCCAAGGCGGACCCTAAATCTCTGCTAAGACTCTCGTCTCAGCCGCCTCCCGCAGAGGAGCAGCACTCGTTCCCTTGGATTCCTGCCGCTGCCGTCCTCTTCCTCACCTTCAGCTGCGGTCAGGCTATCTATAGAGCGTGGGCCGACTCCTATACCATCTCATTCATCGTCACCGCCTACTCTACTCTCCTCGCGCTCTTTTGGTGCCTACGTAGGTTGGACAGGTTGCCCCGCGGCGGCGATGCCAGTGTCGTCACGGAAGAGAAGTGGCTCAAGTTCGCCGTATGGCTCCTCTCCCTGGTCCTAAACGGCATGTTCTCGTTCCGGGTAGGCGAGATGCTGCCCCCTGCTCTCGCCGCCGTGGTCTGGACAGTGGCCGGAGCGACGACCCTCGTGGGTATCATCTACGTCGTCGTCATATATCGCGAGCCCCTCGCGGATCCTGTTTGCATCTTCCCACCGCCGTCCAAGGCCGAAACTGTGGCGTAGTAGCCGAGGCCCCGCTTTGGACTGTGGAACTTGCACTAGCAGCTAGTGAGAAACTGGCGTTGGAAAAATGTGAATTGTTGATGAACGTAAAAGAAATAAGGCCTTTTAATACAATATCCAACCAAAATTGTTGGGGTTCATGATCTTGCATGATCCATAATCTAGGTTATAAATGAATAAAAGATTCTCGTAGAGTTCTGATAAGGTTTCAATGGACAGAAGACACTGTTTGAACTAAGCTACTCGTTTTATATCCATCACTAGATGTCCTGTTGTGGACTGCGAAGCTTATAATCGCCTATGGGGGTGCCGCCTTGGGGTGATGTATCTAGTAGTGTGTTATGTACTTATGTGGTGAAGTTATGCGTTCTCATTGACATTCAGTCAGTGTCTTAAAAGTGTCACACAACTGTGTGGGATGTGCTACTTGTGAACTATAATCTCTTAAGTGCCACCTCTTTTCCTTCCTCAGCCAAAGTCGGATTTGAGTAACCAAAAAAGAAACTGATATTTAGCATAAAAGAAATACAACTTTTGTATATATACTCAATGTTGCAACCAAAAAAGGTTCTTCATTTTGTACATGATCCACAATCCAAGCTATTAATGCATAGCAAGGACTTTTGAAAACTTTTGATAGGGGGTTTCAATGGGCAGAGGGCTATCTTGTCAAAACGACATCGGTTTGCTGTGCATCTCCCTGATTTTTAGGGTTTGACTTGGTGAACAATGTTTGGTGGAGCTGGTGACCAATGTTGATCGTCTACCATTAAATGAATTTGAATGAGTTTGAACCCCTAGGAGCAAAACCATTAAAGTCTACACGTGATGCAAGACCATGTGCTTGGAATAATTCTTCAACACGCATGACTTGGAACATCATTGTTAACTTCAAGTATTTAGGGTAATGGCCTGTTTCCATGGTTTGCCCCTTGTGAGTTTGACTTGGTGAGAAACCATCACTAAGAAGCAAACACAGTCCCAGTCTACGGGCTGATCTGCTGGTTGCGTATGGTTTCAGAAGGTCATAGCCAAATGGGCCAAGCCGACCTCATCCTTTGGCGACGTAAGCAGTGACATTGGGGCGATGGCAACATTCTGTAAGTAATTACCTGATATTTTTTTTTATTGGAGTTCTTTATTGATTTGACTGTTGAATTACAAGAGGCTATTTATAAAAGGATTTATGAGAAGGAACCTTTCAAATCGATGATCTAATGGGATTTTATTAATGGTGTTAAAAGATTAACGGAGGTGATACACCTCATCTGGAAAGGCGTCGGTAATGATTCTACTGCGGTGCCACAAATCGTACGTGCATATTCATCCAATCAACCCTCTCACAATTTGTGATTCGATGGGGGTCAATATGCCTCTCATCTTGCTCTAGGATAGCTTGTGCGGCCATGAACGTGGGATCATTGATCCTTAGCTTTAAGGGCACGGCAAAAATGGGACTTGCTGGAAGTCGTCAAATTGAAATTATTGGGGAGACGACGTCGTGGGAATAAGACAACACCTGTCACCGAATATGAGGTGGGAGTTCTGTCAAATTTCGCCATGGTCTTTGGGTGCCGAAAGTAACGCGGTACCGCCAGTATCTCTTCCTCTGGTCCACAAGTGATTTCTTCCATATGAATCCCTTAGATTTCCAAATTTCAATGAAGTTAGTCGATGGAGGAAGAATTGTCAACCTGGTTGTTAGTCTCCTCACGACTTTGGCGCCTCACCTGTCCGGCTCGTGAGGGGGCCCCGGCTGCCGTCGTCGTCGTCGTCTCCGGTGTCGCCTCCGGCCTTTGGACGGACTTCTCCACCCTCATCGAGCTGCGAACGCAGGGGTTCAACCTTGGGTAATTAATCTTCTCCAGTGATAGAAACATTGTCCCCCTACCTGGAGCCAAGATAGAAAGCTCGAGCGGAAAGAAAGATTGAATGAGTAAGAGAAGAGTCTCTGAGAAAACTAGAAATGACCTTGCGGGACGGAAAGGGCTCCTCCAAGCCCGGCACACATCATGGCTGCCGCCGTCACCTTCCTCCTCGGACTGAACCCTGGGCGTGTCTCCAGGTGTATGAGAAGATTATTTGTAGAACAGCTCAACCTGGCCAAATCGCTCCCAGGAGCCATGTCCCTAAATAGGATGAATGCTCTCCTTCCGGGTCGCCGAGAGGCTGCACGACAGACCAAGCACCGGCACACCAGACCGAAATCCTCAGGCCGCCCCCAACCGGTATGCCGACAGACCTCTACATATATTATCGACCGCCGCTGATGCCATTTTATGGGCTGCGAGATTCGCGCTAATGGCTACCGATTTCCCTCGAGGAAACCAGCTAGATCCGCGATAATGCTAGAGCATACCCCAGCCAACTGCGCGGATCGTGCCGCGGCGCCGCAGCGGGATGAGGACGACGATGGAAAGCCTCCCTTCGTCTGCTTTCACCGATTATATCAGCCTCGGTTCAACTTATTAATGCATACGAGATCGGGGCATTCGCTCTGTGTGAGTAGAAACTGGAACCGATGCTCGTCGCTCTTCTTGGTTTAGAAGGCCGCTTAGAACTGAAACGAGAGACGCATGCTGAGCCAACTAACACGCGTTAAAGAGAGTACTGTCTCCACATGTATTTTATTATTTTTGGTGGCAAGCGTTGACCTAGCGACCAAGTGTTGCCTATATGACCACTAGTACCTCCTCAAACCTTCGGAAGAGTAGGGCGCAAGTTTCAGATTCTCATGTTTCCATTTCGTATGCAGTCTCGCGTTCGTCTCATCTCGTAGGATGGACACTGCTTCCAAAACCACGGACGGAATGGACCCTACCAAAGCCGACCTCGAATCATTGCTGAAGAAGCCCTTTCCGCCTCCTCCTGCAGAAGAGCAGACCTTCCCCTGGATTCCTGCCCTTGCATTCCTCTTCCTCACCTTCAGCTGCGTTCAGGCCGCCTACAGGGCGTGGGCCGACCCTTCTACCGTCTCATTCATTGCCTCTGCCTACGTGGCTCTCCTAGCGCTCTTCTGGTGCCTGCGTAGGTTGGACAGTTTGCCCCGCGGCGGCGTCGGCGCCACCGCCACAGCGGAAGAGAATCGGCTCAAGTTCTCTGTATGGCTCCTCTCCCTGGTCTTGAACGGTATGTTCTCGTTCCGGGTCGCAGAGATGCTGCCCCCGGCGCTCGCCGCGGTCGTCTGGATGGTGGCCGGAGCGACGACGCTGGCGGGTATCTACGTCTTTTTCATTTATCGCGAGCCCCTCGCGGACGCTGCTGGCAGCTCCCCGTTCCCGGCCCCCTCCAAAATGACTGGAGCGCATCAGCTCCACTCTCAAGAATGACTGGAGTGCATCATCTCTGTTCCCCCCCTCCAAAATGCCCGAGAAATCTTTCATCCAATCCCAATCCAGGAACAGAGCAAACCGGAGAGGAAGACGGATTTCAATCTGTCCAACAAACCATTACGCAAATGGTGCGAATGCACACTGAACCTTCAAATGAATCATACCTCTCTACCTTATGTCCATTGCCGTTTGAAATCAAGACACTGAGGGGGTCACGCAAGAGCGATGATGACGTCCGTCGAACATTAAACAAGTCCTATAACTTCGGTGGACCTTCTCCGCACTCCGCCATTCCGATCAAGCCGCCGTTCCGTTGAACATCAACGTTTCCACAGCGGTAGTCATTGAAGGAGACGTTGATATTTCAACGAAAGTCACAATATAATATATGTGAATAATCCCGGAAACAACGTCTGTGTCGCGTTGAATCTTTGCCGTGCACGCAACGCTTACTGACTCTTGGGTTTTAAATAGTCAACTGACGTGAAACAACGTGCGGTGAGGCCTTGATGTTGAGACCTTAGAAACTGACGATGAGATGGAGATGGAGGAATAATCAAACAACGAAAATATTGACATATAAAGTTTACGATGATTTTGATGGAATCAATATTGAGGGTTCACTCCCTCAATAGGAGGAAGAAAGGGGGAGGAGAAGAGGCCATGTCACCTATGCACCCATTCTCCCCGTAAGGAACGCATCTGCTTCAAGAGACATCGCTTAGCATCCTTTGAGAGGGGACACCACTAACTACCTTCTTATATTTCTTATAAATATTCAAACTCAAGAATACTGGAAAGTGAGTTGAAAATTGAATTTGGAATCAAGAAGACTCGTCTTATCCCTCTCACCTCTTGGATTAGGGGTTCCTTCTCCCTCATTGACTCCTTAGACTAGAGGTTCCTCTCCTCCTTTCAATCAACTTTAAAGATTAATGTGTAACTCTTTTCAAGGATATCTATTCTGGCCCTTTGTCGGCAAATGGCAATACTATTACGACTGGAAAGAAATGAGATGGAAGGATAGAGCTTCCTCTGTTTTGAAGGACAGCGGAGGAGCCGCCGAATACTACTTCGATATTCATTGATGTTTCTGTTCCGTTATATGTGGAGAGAACCCTACAGTATAATTCCTAGAATGCCCTTTGGCTATATAATACTGAACAACACCAAGGCAGCATACCTCCTCGGCGGCGAAGTCTTAACAAGTTTCGAAAAGATGTTTCCGGACCACTGAGCTGGAAGAGAGAGGGCTAGCTAGCCAGCTGCTGAATATTCAATGACAAGTCTTAGCGGCTTCGAAATTCAATGACAAAGTTCGTGGGAATCGGGCCATCGGGAAACTGCGCTCTGGCTCCGCACACCTGCTGAACTTTCCAAGCACTTCAAGGTTATAAACAAAAAAGCGCTTAGAATCGTTTTTGTGGTTTCACATGGAGGACCTAGGCATGGTATATCTCGTTGAATCCTTCTTTTCCCCACGTCAGAACTAAATCTAAGAGCGTTTTAATAATAAAAGAAAGAGCTTAGACCAAGGAACCCACCCCTCTGGGGGCTCCCTCTACCAAAGAAATGAAAGGGTCCAGAACCAGGGGAGTTCCCTTCTCTCCTGCTGCGTACGATTAGCCATCCTTGCGGCGGCATAAGTATTAGGACGTTCTCCAAGTGCCGCTGTCCACTTCTGGTTTCAGCCAGAATGATTCCCCGGGAGCGCGGGACATTGCCATATTTTACATTATAACCTTCAACTTATTCAGGTTCCGCTTCTGGGAGATCAGAAGAAATCTCAATTCATCCGAATTCCGGCTTTGAGGACTGATCTTGTTTCTCCTTTATTCTCGAACAGAGAAGAACTACCGTTGTGTCCATTTCAGAGGTAGGAGGTAAGGACTTATACCCCTTAAATCTTTGAGAAGGAACTCGTATTTTATGGTTGGGGTTGCTACAGGTTTCGCTTCGTAGACTAGTTCCCCAGCCATTACAAACACTGAGCAAAACTGATAAGGAGAGACAATGTCGTTGCGGAGGGTTGCGATTCGCCAAGCTGTGTCACAGAAAACCGCCCAACCCCAGGGATTATGAAAAAGAATCGATTTCGGTGTAGTCCGTACATAAACGCTATAGAAAGTAGAAACTAGCGTGTGAAACTTCGATTGACGGAAGCCGGCCCATGAAGATTCTCCCTTTCTTACGTTCCGGTTCCCTGTTTCGGTAAGCATCCTATGTTCTGGGCGTCCTTTCCTCGTCGATTATGCACTCCCCGGTGGCAAGGTGATGAGATAATCTTAGTATCTTCTCATCCACGTCGGAAGCGGACTTGATCCTGTGTCAAATAGTCCCATAAGTGCCAACGGACGACGAGTTGTTCGTACAGCAAAAGACAAGGTAAATGCAGATACTAGATCAACGGCCCATTTGTATTATAAAAAGGGACATCACTTGGAAGAGGATGCAGGCTTAGTTTGGTGTATCTCTGTGTGGATGAATTAGAGACTGACCCTCTTGAATTGGTCAAATCCCTAGGGTTTTCTCATAGGCTTTATATCTCTCCTCACTTGTTATCTCTATTTTATCCTTATATTTCGTATTTTCAAAACATTATTTATTGAGTCAATGATTAATTTATGATGATGTTGATGTTGATGATATTTAGACATTATCTTAATTATTTTGAAATTGATGATATTCGATATGAATTAAAATAAAGATGAGTGAGGTGAATATATTGAGGTTTAAATTATTTAGATAATGATATGAGGTCTAAGATTCTATGACTAAAATATTATTCTATTTTAATCACTATCATAGATATGAATGTTATATCATATTACTATAATAATAAGAAAAAGTCTAAGTGAAGTGTATATGCTATCATCTTATATATAAGTCTGAATGTTTAGGTTTTCTAAATCAAATCGAGTCAGCAGTATAAATATATGAGTAATATGAAGGTTTTTGAACAAAGAGTCAAGTGAAATAAATTTTATAAATAATTATCAAGATGCTGATTTTATATTAGATTTCACAAGATTACTATTTTTAAATATTTATACGAGGGTGGTAGAATGGTCTAGAAATATGACCTTTTATACTGATGTAATTTTTATCTTAGAAAAAAGTGAAAAATATAAGTGTGAGACCAGTCAATAAAAAGTTAATTGAAAGAGGAATTTAGAGCTGAAAATTGTTCTTAAATATTAGAATATCAAGAGAGTTATGAATTTTTCATTCTTTATAGTTAAAATTTTCTATATATTTCAAGATCTATGCATGGCTTATTAAAGCCCACTTTAATTCAACCATTTGACTCAATAAAAGTAAAAAAGGAGTGGTTCAATTTACCTACAAAATAAGATAGTTTCTCCAAATCACGACAAGAGAGAAAAACATAATTTTCAAGTGATGGCTGCTACTTCAATAATAATTTTTTCTCTTCATCAACTCATTTCAACTCTCAAAAACACAAAGGTTAGATTGATTGCTTCAAGGGACTTGTGGACATCTCTTCAACCCTCAAAAACTTCATCATTCAGCCCAACATCATTAAACACCTTCAACACTCTTAGTGAATAGAAAAGAAGATTTAAATATTGTAGTTAACTTGTTTCATATTATTCACTATTTCTATCTCAATTTGTGTTATGTGAACTAGTTGAAACACTTGTGATATGTTGTCAACATAGTCACATTAATTGCTATATGTGGAAGGTCATCTTACACAAGCATAGATTAAATAAGTGGTGGTGTTGGAAGTCCAATGAATCCAATCTTTAAATTGTGGCTATCATCATGTCGTTCTGATGTAAATAGATTCAATAAGTTCCACCTTATCCAACCCCTTTCATTAAGTACCTCACCATTCGGTTTCATCGAGTGACTTCTTCCACAAAATCAGCTGAGTCAACAAATTTCATTTGTGATGTTGTACATGCACCTAATTCCAGCACTTCTTTACTGACAAAATCTTACATCTTCTAAGTCATTATGAATAATGATATGATAATAGGAAGGCTTCATCCCACTTCAGACTACACATTTTCACAACTTCTCATACCAATCTCGTAGAACTTGTTAAGTATGATTTGAAAATTTTGAATTCTTAAAACCAGGAGGCTGTCCTATGTAAACTTCTTCTTTGATAAATCCATTAAAAAAAGTACTCTTAACATCTATTTGATACAATTTGAAATTACTAACACATAATTAATAAAAAACTTATAATTGTATCAAGTTTAGCTATAAGAACATAAGTTTCCTTATAGTTTATCCCTTCTTCTTGAACATACTCGAGAATAATTAATCTAGTTTTATTTCATAAATTTGTATTTATTTACCTTAGTTTCATTCCAACCATATTTTGATATACATGTCATGAAACTAAGTACTATGCATCATTTCTCTCAAATTGCTCTAATTCTTCCTTTGAACATCATCCAATCCAAAACTATAAGAGCATTATTATTATTCTGTGGTTCAATTTGAGATGTAAATGTCATATAAATTTATTTTTTTAATTTCGATATGATTTTAAATTTATCATTTAAATCTCTAATAACATTATTTAGCTAAATAACTCTTAGCATGTCTCTGAGTTCTAGGTAAATCCTCATGATAAGCATTTGATTCCAAGTGAGTTAGTTCTTGTTCTCCTTGTTTGGATTTTTTTTAACATCTATGAAACATGTCTCAACACAATCATTCTCAAGAAGTACACCTTTATGAACTTTAAACTGTTCTATAAATTTAGCATGAATTGAGTCCTTTAACTACTAAGATTCCTTTGTTGTATATTCTATAAGCCCTCAATTTTTTGGATTATCCTAACAATATTCTTTCATCACTTCATTGATCAAAATTTCATGATTTCCCTTTACCAATATTAAGAATAAAAGTTTTGCATCAAAATAATTTTAAATTACTCACATTTGACTTCTTGTTCTTTATTAATTCATATGGAGTTTTCTTCAGTTTTAATCTAATCAACATTCTATTTGTGA